AATTAAGATGTTTGTATAAATATATTTATCATTGTTTGTAAAAAGAAAAATTAAGTTCATATTTTAGTAGAATATGATACTTATCAACTGGTTCAATATTTGATGAATATATATAGATTTCAAGAAGTCTGATGATGCTTTTAAATTGTAATTATAAATTTCAACTTTGAGATAGGAATATTATCAAATTTCGTAAATAATTTTTTCTCTCCACATAACAACAGGATACAACATGACAATAACATATTTGATTAAGAAAAAAGATAAAAGATATCTTGTTTTTTATATAGTTAATAACTCAAAATAATATATTAATATTCTTTGAACCAATAAATTCCCTTTTTCTTATTTTAAAAATATTTAAATTCATTTTGTACTAATTTATTAAAATAGACGAGTTTCATCATAATTAATAAAACATTCAATAATATTTCATCATATTATGTAATATATATTTATTTATCTAAATATCATGGATAGACTTCTAACTACAATATCGTCAAAACTTTATTTATTATAAATTTTATTATTCTACGAGGATAATTTAGGTTATATTTATCTATTTGTTAGCCATAAGAAAATAAAGTAATGAATAATAAAATCAAGGAATATAAATAAATAATTAGAATCAGTGTATTATAAAAAATAAAAATAAATAATTAGGACAAGAGCGTAATTAAAAATAAATATAAATAATAAAACAAATAATACTCATACTAAATAAGTGAAGATAAATATAAATGAATGGATAAATATAAATAAATAAGTTTAACTTAAAAAAATAAAATAAAATTAGAAACACAATATAATATATAAATATAAATAAATAAATAAAATAAGATTGATAACACTTCACCTAAATTATTATTAAAATTATAAAATAAATAGGATGATAGATATCTTCTTTTCTTATTTCATTAATTATAGAATATGATGGTTTCCTCTTTTATATATATGCATAGACGGTAATTGCAAGCATATGAGTATATTTTATTTACGCTCTTATCTCTTCATATAAGATAAGTCCATTGTTTCTGTTCCTAATAGTAATATCATTATTTTTAATTAATTAATTTTTTATTTATCTTTTTGGTATTATTATGAGTATATTTTTATTTACGCTCTTATCTCTTCGTATAAGATAAGTCCATTGTTTCTGTTCCTAATAGTAATATCATTATTTTTTTAATTAATTAATTTTTTATTTATATTTATAATAAATATTACAGTATTTATATAAAATATAATAATAAAATATTTATATAATTGTAATGCATTATTTATGAAAAACATTACAGTATGAATTTTTAGATTTTACAAGACGTTGTTGATGGAACTTGAGGCGGCTATCCCCTCCGTATCTTAAAATGTTTTCTTTTGTTTGTTCTATTGATGTTCTTACAAGAATAAAAATTTAGCATGGAACTAACTAAAACCATTTAAGAAGATAAAAAAAAAGACGAGTATGTTAATTTTGTTATAACTAAAACCATTTAAGAAGATAAAAAAAAGACGAGTATGTTAATTTTGTTATAATTTCTACGAGGCATCTCATTGGAGATGCTAAAGTTAAAATTTTTCTTAAATTTTGAAGTTGATAACTTTAAGTCTAACTTAATTCTATAAAATCAATTTATAAAATAAAATATTAGATTAGACATTAATTAGTAGTTTAATAATAATCTTTAATAGATGAAATAATATATCAATATAAATGAATAAACTTTAATATGACTATGATAGTGAATTTTAAATCTAATTCAATTGATATAAAATATGAGACTTTTCAACATAAGTAACACTCAAATCTATCATAATGATAGTTAAAAACAAATAGAAAGGATTAATAAAAGATTAACCCAAGTACGAATAAATTAATGGGAAATGGGAAGATGATGAAGCTACGAAAAAACAGTTGCCTAATAAGACTTACTTTTTTTTTAGAAAACCCAGATTGGAACATGTAGGAGGAATCATTAAACGATAAACAAAACAAGATGGACATATTAAGTTAAATATTTAAAAGATATATTTAATACTTTAACATCACGTCACATACCTGTAGATAAATGATAAAACCCCTGAATTAAACAAATCAAAATAATATTTGGTCCGAGGCAAATAAATTGCAGTCAGGAGGAGAAGGAACATGAAGAAACAGACAAGAGTTAGTTGTCTACAAGCCTAGTACTATGTCTTCCCCTTTCTTCCAGAGCCCATATTGGGACATGATCATGCTACAGGAGCCTTCAGAAATTTTGTTCCAATCGTTGTCATCCAATGATGTTCTTGACCCTCTACACGATTCTCTTTCCTTCGACATGGTTGACTTCTCTACAGCACCAGCAGAAGGAAAACACAAGGAGACAAAGAAATTGGTGGTGGAGTCTGAAGTGAAGAATAGGGAGAGGTCATACATAGGTGTGAGGAAAAGGCCTTGGGGAAAATTTGCTGCAGAAATCAGAGACACCACAAGGAGTGGCAGACGGGTTTGGCTTGGAACCTTTGAGACTGCAGAAGCTGCTGCGTTAGCTTACGACCAAGCTGCATTTTCCATGAGAGGCCATAATGCTGTACTCAATTTTCCTGTCAAAAGAGTTAAAGAGTCTTTGCAAGAGATCCAATATACCTGCTTCAATGGCTCTTCTCCTGCACTTGCACTCAAGGCCAGGCACTGCAAGCAAAAACACTTATCCAAAGCAAAATATTGTAAAGGGAAAGAGAAATCAAAACCAAGTGTAGTGGTGTTGGAAGATTTGGGAGTTGACTATCTAGAGCAACTTCTAAGCATATCAGATCAAAGTGCAAACCCTACCTACTTCAACTAAATCTTACTCACTATTTCTTTTTTCTTCTTGTCTTTGTCTATTTTACATAATCAACAATTTCCATCTTCGGCGTTTGTATGTATTATGAACTCTCACTGCTAATATACAAGTCCAGTGCCAATTCTTCTGTGATGGTATCCCATTAGAAAATTTCTACAAGTATTATTTGATCTATTAAGAAAATGTTATCATTGTCAGTGATTCAATCTTTACTGCAGCAATTGGGAGCATGAGCTTCTGTAGTGAATTACATTTTGTCGACTCTCCTCTTTAGTAGAACCTGAATTCATTCTTCTAGAAAATTCATGCTGGCACCTACATTTTCGATGCCTTTCTTATACAAACTCATGGCTCATATTTCAACACCCTTTTCAAGAATTCTAATAAAGTCACTATTCCAGTCATGCAGGAAAAACCTTTTCATCCTATTGCATCACTATACCCAAGACTTAATTATCAGTTCTAGAGCATAGTTGCAGTTAGAAACCTTATTGTCAAAAATAGTGATATTCCTATGTAACTAGAGTTCAATCCGAATGGCAACAAACCAAATCACTCGCAACCCACAGATTGTCCTTCTTCTGCATAAGTTCATTTTGGCAGATTCATGAGGCCCTTTTTAGATTTGATTGAAAGATAATGAAATTTGTTTTGCCATTGACCGGATATTCAAAACTCAGACCAGTGATTTCGGTGTCAAGTTTGTATTTTTATCACATTTTTAGAAAAATTTGGTGAAGTTTTTAGGGGTGTTTAGAGTTATATCTGATGTCTGGCTTGTCCCTTAAATTTCTTTATATACACAGTTGTAAATTGTGATCAATCAATTCAGTGTAGATTTTGCAATCACTGTAACCAGAAGGATGATCGAAAGTATATATAATACCAGAAACAAATGTTCTTAAACTCATTGAATACATCAAGTGTAACACAGGAAACCTAAAAGTGTGATGAAATGAAGAAACGAAAATATTTGTCTGTGAATATGAACACATTCATCATTTCCACCAACACATATATGACTCCCCAACAGTATACATATACCATTCATTACACTGCAAAAAACATAAAATAATAAAACTCGAATCTTCATTATTTTCAGCTGAAGGATATACACACTGGACAAAATCTTATTTTCATAACTTTTTAATAAATCTTTAAATAGAAAATGAAGAAAAACAAGAGAATATTTCTATAATAGGTCATATCACTGCAATAGGAACCGATTAAGAAGAGTTATTCTGTATGAATTTACCTTTAGCAGAACTTTGCAATTCAATACCTGTATCCAGAAAGATAAATAGATCACAAGCTTCATTTCTGCTTTTTACTTGTCAACAGACTTGGGCGAAGATGTTCAACTAAAATTATTTCTTGATTTAACTTGCAGAAGAGATAAAAATTGAAAAATTAAAGGGAAAAACTATATACTGATAGCACTCAGCCATTACACAGTTACACTCCTTGCAATATGTGTCACTGTCTAGGTTAAGTAAAAAGGAAGATGTTGAGTATTCACACAGAAGATTCGGATATCTATCATCATTTTCTCTCTAATGATCTACATCTCATCAAGATATAGCTTCATGAATTAAACAAGGGCATATTAGCATTTTATTTCGGAAATCAGAATCTTAGAGATTTCAAGGCATTGTTCATAAAAAATTACTAGACCACAGAATAAAACTAACGTTTAGTAAGCATCAGAATAATACTGGAAGAAAATTTAATGCAAATCTTAAGCATATTTATTAATTAAGAAGTTGCGTATATTCAGTGAAACCCCAATATTTCCAATTCTAAAAATTTGAATCAACATGTCATTCCAGTTCATCTAGATATGCAATAAAAAATAATGCCATGTCCTATTTTCCACGATGAAATTATTTCATTTCCAGAAATCCCTGATACTGGAATCAACAAAAAAAAAATGAACGAACAAACATCAAAACATACCTCTCTCAATTCGACACTGTTCCGTTGTTCCTGAAACATTTTCCTGAAAACTCCGAAACGAAATAAATTGGCATCATTAATTTGACTTAGTTTTGAGGGAAAAACATTAATGATGTGCTGGTTTGTGGTGAGGGATAGGGTTTAAAGGAGGCGGATGGAAGAAAAACGAGAAAGTTTCCGGTCCAAATCCCTCGGTCAAG